CAGCTGTTCCTACGGGAAGGACCGAAAATTGACTAGCAAAGATTGTCACCGGAAGAACTGTGATGACAGTACAAATATAAGCAGGATTTTCACGTTTTGCTTAAACAGACAAAAGTTCGAACAAGCACAGTTGGCGGTTGAAGGATATGAGATGAGCGTAGTCGTAAGGAAACACTTTTCAGAGAGCTCAGCTTCAAAGTAATAAATTTACACCGACGTTAAGTGATCAGACTGCTGATGTCTACAAACGGTTCTAGTCCGTTTGTCAATCACGTTCAAAGGTGATTACAAATTCAACATTATTTTAGTAGATTGTATCACAGAAGCTGCTTATAATCTCCAGATTAGTGCATACGTACACCTCAAGGAAATTGAATGCAGGACAGAAGGGAGCAAATTTATGATCATCATCATCATTATCATCATCATACAGCGTAATACAGTGAGGCAAACACCGAACGAGAGTGACGAAGTTCAGTTCAGTTCAGTTTGCACAACCATTAACCATGCACTATCGTGTGCCGGTTTTGATTGCTATCTTTCGGCTACCCATTTGGATGAACATTAGGAGAAAGACAGAAAAGGTTGAAAGTAGGATCGAAGATAAGATTGAAAATTTAAGTGGATTACTGATACAGAGAAATTGACAAGATGCACAAACGCCACTGTTTACGAGATCCAGCCATATCACTCAGTGTCTCCAACCATCGGGTACGACCATCTCGAGGTCACCATCCAGGAGCAACAATTGCGATAACCACCGCGGGATAAGTTTGATCCCGATCGTCACCAAAGCTTCGGTTATACTTCGACGTCTGACGCCTTTAAGAGAGACCAACATCCGTGAACAGCAAGCCGGATTCCGGCCTGGCCGCGGATGTATTGATCAGATTTTTACGTTGCGTCAGATCCTTGAGCTGCGTCATACTCACCGTCGGCCAACGATCGCAGTATTCCTTGACCTGAAAGGAGTCTTCGACTCAGTTGACCGCGAAGCTCAGATGGGCTGCCTTCTTCGAAAAGGAATGCCCCAGAAGTACGTTAACCTACTGAGGTCACTGTATTGACATACCTCCGGTAGTGTAAGGGTCTACAACGAACTAAGTAGGCTG